CATCTTGTTTTAAGGCCACGACCTCAAAAAAAGTCAATTTTCGTCAAAAATTTTGAAATTGAGATAAATCCATCGGAAGATAGCTTATCTTCAGATCTTTCAGAAATGATATAAATTTTTGTTCCAACACCTCTTCTTCAGCGAAAACGTTTGAAGCCTTTTGTAATCAGCTGCCTAAAAAACACGATTTTTCCTAGAAAAAATGGTTTGGGGAGTTTTTGCATGAAAAATAAGCATGTTAATGGAATGTAGAGACATTTTAACAAGTTTCATAAATTTTTATAGGAAAATCTAAGTTCATACAGCAAAACATGAGAGGGTGAAGTTGTAGGTGTGAATGGGGTTTTCGTGAAGGGAGAATGAGCAACCACATCCACACCCTAATCATTCTCTTCAAATATATCAAAAAAACGCCTAAAACTGCTAAAACACAGTCATGGACAAAAGTAACCGTCCCCACCGAACTGTTCTTATTTCTTATGATATGGGGCTGATATTTTGGATGTAGATTGATCTTAGTGATCCCTGATCGCAAGCACCAACCTGACCTTAATCGGTTGATATAGATTGAAGTTATCAGGTCAATAATATCATCATATTGTTAAAGTCATATCTCGATCATTTGTTGACCTTTGCATTCACGTAACTCCTCATTTGTGAGCCCACTAGTGTGGTTATCTGCATTCAAANGGTCGAAAATTCAGTAAAATGGTCATAACTTTTGAAGGAAGCAATAGAAACCGAAACCATTTTAGAGTTCTTACTAGGGCACTATGTAGTATCTATGGGTGAAATTTCATTGAAATTCGATGGGTGCACCTGAAAAGTTTCCCTCGTAAGTGATTGATTTTGTCTTTCTACTAGAAGTAGTAACATTATACGAATTCAGAACATTTTCAATTGCATTACAGAATGATATCAAAGAAGAAAGCGTCAAACTTACCAATTCTTGTAGAAAAATCATATCTTTACTTAACAAAAGTCAAGCAAAACAAAGCATAGATGCTATTCAAGATCAGTTATTGTCTATTACTAGATGAAAAAATCTGAAAGAGTTCTTTCGTTCGTTCGTAGATTCAGTGTATATGGACTGTAGGAGAGTAAAAGCTGTTACTGTGACAAACTCCACGAGTTATATAAGTTTCACTCTATTTTTTTGTGCGAATGTAGTAATGAACTTTTCTTCAAAAGAACTAGCTGGTTAATTGATATGTAAAATGAACTAAGTAGTTTTACGTCAGGTTCGATACAGTTGAAAAAAATTCATTCCATTGCAACTTTGATATCAAACACAATACATATAACTGAAGGGGTTTAATCATGAGCAAATTGATTCTTCAGAAAATACCGTTAGTTTTATTACCTCGTTTTAATATTCATTTGTTATTTTTATCAATTAAATCGTCATCAATATTGGTTTGAAAATTATCCTGAAAAACAAATTGATCTAACTCGGAGCTCATTGAATTTCATTGTGACAAGCGTAATATTTAAATATATTTAAAAATTGAATTCGTACAAATCTAACTACAGAATAAGTTGAGTTTGACATGAGCACCTTATGCATATGTATGAGTGAACTGTAATATTACTGTACCGTTTTGAGAAAGAAAAACGAGTGAAAAAAAAATCGTACGTTTTGAAAGATGATAAATAGTACGCTTTTGTTCTGCTAAGTGAGAAGAGAAAACCCAAAGACTTTTCTAACTACCACTATTAATATGGCAGAGATATATGAGAATCGTTCAAAGCTCATGAACATACCTACATGTAGATTTTCTGCTTATATATCGAATAACTGCAGAAATATGAGATGTTTGCGAAATTTGTTAAGAAATGTTTGAAACTTTGTTGATGTGCCACGATCTACAGTTGAGACTCAAAGTTTGATGACTTTTAACTACATAAAACTAATAGCATGTTTTATGCCATATATTCATGATGTAATATCACCTGCACAAAATGACTTTCATAAGACACAATGTAAAATCAGTTCACAGTAAAATTGATTGTGTCTGAGATAAGAACTGAAGTAATTTATAATTTATTTATTTTCATCTTAATTGTGATGTATTATGCATGTTAAAATTTAGCATGACACATTAGCAGTATTTTAGTCTTTTTCTCATGAACCAAAAGTTTTCTCATGCTAATATTTTTATTGATGGATAAGAACGATGATTTAATGAAATAATCAAACTTTCATCTTAAACTGTGGTATCATAGAAGTTATAGGGTGGATGTGAGTGAGGAGAAGATCATCACCTTTACTGTATTCTATCGGAATCCTATCATACTCTGTATCTTACTCTTTGAAGTTCTGGATTACCTTGTGCATCAATGCTTAATCAAGCTTTAAAACTGGTATTTTGTCTTGATACAAATGACAAAGCGTATTATTAACTATAGAACTTCATAAAAGCAAGCTTATTCAGTGTGTGAATACCAGATAGTAGTAGTTTTGATGAATTATTCAAGTCGAAAAAAGCATTATTTAACAGTAATATTTTACTCAGAAGCAAAAGTTATCACATTCTCATCACAGCTTCAAAAACGTCGAGATCCAAAACTACTTTAAAACATCAGAGATGGGCACTAGGGTATTTCTATTATTACTATAGCAATACTGACAGAGTGTCAGTCTCGATAGACATCTGTAAAATATATCTTAAAAACGATTAGGCTTTGGTTTTGTAGCCATGATTTAGTGCTTGTTTCAAATGCAAAGTCAATCATAATAAAGCGATTTATTGGCACTAAATCTCTGTCTTCTGTTCGAATAGTGAACTTAAGAACTATTGTTCAAGTGTGTTAATTGTTTTTGGAATATAGAAACCACTGTCGATAGTGTGCCGCGAATGAATACCGAACAAGAATTCATCTTAATTATCTTTCTCGATGATCGTTAGCGTAAATAAAGTTATTTTATTTCGTGTATTTTCTAGTGTAAAAATTCTTCACAGCTGAATAGTTGATGGCTGAAGATACAAACCTATCCAAGTATGTTTTTCAATGAAAATGACAATATTGGAGGCATATTAAACACATTAAACACGTCTGTAGCAGACAGTATGCCATCACTCAGAAAACTGGAAAAACTTCTCTTTGTGTTTTGTGGTATGCGAAAATAAAACACAATATATGCATACCCAGGTAAATAGAATTAATGTTTTCTGGTGCTTTCAGCAGCATTGACATTAGTAGGTTTAAGTTCCGACAAAGAAGCAAAGATGGGACAACTATTACAGCTAGTCGTGACAGAAATAATGATATCACCTGTGTTTATGTGCTGATCAGTATTGAGTTGTATTGTGTAATAAACATAAAACAATGTACTCGAAACAGTAAATGTTTCACCGACTCGAAGAAGACACGATACATTGGAAATAAGAGAAGCAATGTATGAAACAGAGACAATAAGTTTACTGAAACTGCCAAATGGTATAGCATAATTTGCACTTGAATGCGATGCCAAATTATAAAGTGTCGTCTGTATTGACATTTTGGCCAATTCCGACACAATAACGGTCATACCACGATCGACCTCAAGTTAACGGGTACAGGACTTGACAAATTTATCCGAAGAACCTGTTAACACAACTATTATCCGTGAAATGTCCACTCGACAATATAATTGATAAAATGCATCTACCGAATCTAAACCGAACTGCATGTCGAAGAATTTGGCTATGCATTTATATATTGTTTTTGACCTAATTTTTCCTTAACTACTGATGTGTAAGATATCCTAAATGTAATAGCAATATGAATTGAAGATATATAGTGCTAAAAAAATGCCGAAAGAAGGATTCGAGTCAGGTGCTTGTAAGTTAGACGCAATAGAATCTAATGCAATTTTCATCTGGCTTAGTTGAATTTGCGTTAGACGCGAATTGTTGTCATCGACCAACAAAAACCAATCAACCCTTCTGTTTTTTAATAGGTTACTATAAGATCATGATTCATTGGTATTGATTTCGACAAGGAGAAGAAGACTAAGAAGGATAAAGAATTTCATCATGAGCAAATATTTCCTTTTTTGTATTTGTTGACAGTAACCAAAATTGAAAATATAACACAAAAATGTTCCTGTAAATCGTGAATATGATGAATGTAATCACTCAGCAAGCCTTGATTTTCTTATCTCCTCAAAGGAACGATACGCCACACTTACTGCAAATAAAAATGAAGAATTACGAAAGAAAATGATAATACGCACGTCAGACATCTGAATAAGTGAGCTGAATTGAGTCAATGAAACCAGTTCATAAATCATCACGCTCATAATTAATTTAGCCTATAATTTTTTTCTACGAAAAATATTAAAATCCCATCGAAAGGAAAATAGATACTACACAGAATTTTAAAACCATTTCGGACAAGGTAAGATCTTCCATGTTCAACCGATGACTTCCGATTCATTTTCAATTATTAGGAAGGACATGTCTTGTAAGCAATTATTATGATGTGGGCATAGATATGGATGTGTGAGTAGATGTTGGAATCGGGATGACAAGAAGATCCATATCCCACCATTTTTTCACTTGGTAGATAGATACCACTTGAGACTATACTTTGCCCGAAAAACTCAAAAACTGAACAAAAAAAAAAAATTTGAGTCGCAAAAGTTTGTATGGTACACTTCATAGATAATTAATAGTTTTTTTTTAAACTGTTCCATGGAAATGATGAACCAACGTTTAAAAGTATAAAGAAATCAATTATTACTGATATCTTTTATGTTAATACTGATGAAATACTGGCTATTATCTCCAAATAACGCTTCATTTTCTCTGTCTATGTATACAAAACGAGTAAAGTTATATACTAAATGTTATTATAGATACAATTTTTATTTAAAATCATTATCTTTCATGATAGTATTAATCATACTGACCTATTATTATCATACATAATAGGATCCTGTTGCGAATGAAAGAATTATCTTTGAATTGAATACAATTTATTCAAAAATATGACAACAATTTTTACAAATAAATTTATTTTGATGGATGATACTTTTGCATTTGATTAATTAAATCTTCATAAATAATTTTATTTGCTGTCATAGCCCATACGAAATCAAGATGATTATAATCTGATATATATTTTTCATAAACTAAATTTTGAATATTATCAAAAATAAAAGCAACATCATCCGGATCAGCAAGCCAATCTTCACCTGACCAAAATATTGCTGTTGGAATCTTCATTGGACGGATTGAATATATTGGTGGTGTTGTTTGATTGTAATGTAATTGATTTTTTTCTGATGAACCATAATCATATGCTTGAAACTGTTTTGAAAGAAATATTTGTGCAAAATGAATCATATTTTTAACAGATGTTCCATCAGGTTCATGAGATACATATACTTCCATTCGTGTATTATTCATATTTTTTTTATCCGGACCACATATAACAAATAGAATATTTTCACAAATCAATGGATCAAATATAACACTTCCACATGCATATTTTGCAAGCCATTTAATAATATTTGATGACGGAAGAAATTCTTTATAACCAAATAATAAATGCCAAACATATTCAGGATCTTTTGGAGTATTAAATAAATATTTTAATGGTGATTTTATGTGTGATAGATGAGCAACAGGTGCTAGAGCTGCATAAAAACTAACATTATTTTGAACAATATTATTTAAATTTCCGAATTCAGCAAAAGCAATCATTGTACCTTGTGAATGACCAACATAACCAATTTGTGTATATTTTGTTGCATTCAGTATATAATAAATCATTGATGGAAGATCATCTTTTGCCATATCATCCCAACTAAAATCCCAAAATTATTGATGATNGAACTCGAATGTGTACTGCACTTCCATCGGAATACTATTAGTTGTGCAGTGACCAATAGAAATGAAGTTATAGGAAAAACGACTTTCTTAGAGTAAATCAAGGTGCAGAGTTCAAACTTGAGTTGTATTCGGTCCCATATCCTATTGGTTTGTCAACGCGCAATATAAATCAACATTTTAAATGGTAGATTTCACAGTATAATTTTGATATTCAGACAGTCTAGGATGATTGATTTGTATGATTCACTTTTTGAAGTACACATAACTTTCTGATTTAAATCCGAAGTTTCCGCATTTATTTTAAATATCATATTAATCAAACGCGGATGATGCTATGGGTATAAGTGGCGTAGATGCGGATAGGTAGACGTGGAATGAGTATTTATATGGGTCAGGGATATCAGATCTTCCGATATGTCAAGAAAAATTCTGACTTTTTGAACTTTTTCCGACTTTTCGATTTCTTCCTGACTTGGAATTTTTTCTAGATTTAAGTTTTGTGAGTATTTGACTACAATTTAATTATAACCAGGAATGTCAGATCTCCTGAAATGTCAGGATACTTTTGTGTTTTTTTTAAAGTTTTTCCTGATTTCGTTCTGGCATTCTGATTTTCAATTTTCTTTCTAATTTTTTAGGTTTTAGAGATTTTTCTGAATTCCAGTTTTTCAGTGATTGACGGAAATATAGTAATTGCTCATTACTGCATGTGTATATAGTATACCGTCATTTGGTTCATTTTTCCTGTCAATATATTTGTCAACTATTAACTTTTATATTACCCCAATATCAGACGCGCAGTATCCTAGAAGACTCCAATTTTTTTGTAATATCTCCGGAGAAGAAGACGTTTCCAAAGGAGCATTTTTATTAGGAAGAGTTGCATTGCATTTGATTTCAGAAGATTTATCAAATTTTTGTCATATTGACTGTTTTTCTCTACATCAGGTTCTACTCGATAAGTAGTTCTAGAAAATTTTACTAGCCAATGAGCGAAATATTTGTTCTTAAAAGCCAATAGAAAAAGTGTTTTAAAAAAGGTTTGTAATACCCGATGTGCGATGATTCTCAAGTAGTGTTTTGATACGGATGGTATACTACTGTCCGTCATATGACAAAAACACATATTGTATATGTTGAAAATTGCACTATCGGGAGCTGTTGAAGAATCACGTTTCACAAGCGACTTATCTGTCACTGTCGCAAATCATATCGGATAATGCGTCTCGTTGTAAAATTAACTAGAAGTCTTGCAACACTATATTTGAAATTAAACTATTGTCAAGGTTTGCCCATACTAACTTAACTCTTCATTTATATTGTTTTTATCGGTTTTTAATTATGGTATATCTTTTTGATACAATGTGGATAAATGAACACTAGGAAAGTAAAGTAATCTATACGAATAAGACAAAAAACACGCATCTTTACACAATAAAGTCGTTTTCCTATTTTTTCAGAATACAAACAAGAACATTCTGATTTTGAAAAGTAAATTTCTGTTTTTTAATTTTTTGATCTATCAATACTAAGTCACATCGATACTGACACAACGCAACAAAAAAGTTGGCACGGTTGTAAATTATCAATCAAAATAAATTTTAAAAAAAGCTACTGTTCATTTATTTAGAAATAATAATGCTAGATGAATACTAAAAATCTTAGTCATCAAAAATATTGACACGCAACCATATTATATCAGTTAATGACATGTATAATTTCATTAGAATAATTCTATATTTAAAACAAAAACCAAAAATTTGTGAATTAAGAAAAATATTAACCTAAAAGTTAATGTAGTTTTGACAGTGTTAATAGTTATTTTATAGTATTTGACTGAATTCATTTTTTTAATGTTGATTCTTCTTCGAAGTATGCACACTTTATGTGCACATAACCTGATACAGTAATTTGTATGAATGACGAAATGTGCATAATTTGAAAGAACACATGCATGTTGAGTACACACAGCACGTGACGGTTTGCGGAAAATAAAAAAAATTTCACATTACTTTTCGCAATTATTGTTTGCTTTTGACTTCTGTTATAATGATTAAAAAAAGAAATATGGAGAAAAGTTTTTTCACATGTGAGAAGAAATTGCGTTCTTATTGAGTGAGACAAGATAGATAAAAGAGCTCCTTTTTATACGTTAAAATGTGCGCATTTACAAAAAAAATGTTTTTATTTCGACTTATAATGTGTCATTGTCTGACTTAATATTAAAAAAAAAGCGTGTGTGCTAGATATCAAATGACATCTATCGAGAATTATTCTTGTAGACGAACGAATAGTTGCTAACGGTTATCGATATACGTCAATTCAGCAATAATGATGGAATTTTATTCTTATAAATAAAAGATTGTTCTAACTATAAATTTTACTTTTAGATTGTGTGTAATCATTCTAGCATGATGAACGAATATAATACATCAACTTCTACAATATGTAACGGAAACTCCAACAATGATATAGTAAATATAATTGATAATGAGTTCTTTGTTTTTGAATTTTTTGTTTGTTTTTATTAGACAAAAGAATCTCCAACGTCTTCAGTTATATCATGGACGATAAAGGATGTTGAACAATGGCTTGAATCTCTAAATTTATCGAAATTTATTGATAAATTTTGTAAAGAAAATGGCATCGATGGTTTAACATTACTTCTTATGAAAGAAGATGATCTCAAACAATCACCTTTATCAATTGAACGTTTATGCGATATTAAAAAATTATGGTATCATATACGTTTACTTCAATGTAAACATAACGATTTTTATTCACATTTTAATGATGATAGAAGAACACATAATCATTCATCATTATCACCAACACATTTACTTGAAACAAATTTACATTGTACAAATAGTTCATGTCAAATAAATTATAAAGAAAAAATAGTTTTTAAAACATTAAAAGGAGAAAAACGTAAAACATTTGTTAGTTTTATTTATGCATTAATTATTGGCATATGGACATCATTTATTATGGTTGTTGTACATAATCGTGTACCAAATGTACAAAAGTAAATCAAATTCTTTTTTCTTATTTATTATAATCATACTATTTTCAAATTAAAGATATCCACCATTGCCCGATCTATTTCTTGATAATATTCCACATATTAGTAAGCGTTTTATTTTTTTATTTTTGAAAAGAATACAAGAAATGTATTTTTTTTATTATTTAGGTTGGGCATTTGCTCTAAGTGAATTTTTAGTTGTTGTTATGGGTACAACATTTTTGTTAATTTTAATGTTTCACAAATATTGGTGAGTATATATATATTTGACGTTGTTTTATTTTGGCATGATTTTTTCAAACAGGATTATCATACTTCGACGATTTTTTGCTCTTGGTGGTACTATCTTTTTTCTTCGATCAATTACAATGTTGGTTACATCATTGAGTGTAAGATTTTTAATGTTTTTTAAACAAATCTTAAAAAAAAACAACGAAAAGTAGTAAATATTATCAATTTGTTCAGTCACTATGTTCATTACTTGAATAATCATAATTCTTTGTATTAATGTTCGGAAAAGTCATCATGCGCTAGCAAATAATTTTTAAATGACGCCATGTTAATTTACACTCATTTCTTTGATTACTTCTATCATATATTAAAATATAATGATCTGTAGACATGCACATATTTGGATTGGAATAGAGAATCGACCAACCTGCTAGAAGAAAAACTCGAGAAAATTGAACTAGATAAATTAAATCCATCAATGTCGACTACTGTTTTTCTATTTGCTTTCGGGACGATTTTCAGCTTCTATGACCTTCAAACTAAGCTGAGATGAAAAGAAAAAAGAACAAGAAGCGAACACTTATCAGATTATACATTTTGCAGATCAATAAAAAGTGCCTAATTCGAGGTTATTTGCTTATTTCAAGTATAATGTGAACTATGCTATATAAACCATAAAAATAATTCGAATACAAATATTATATGTAGATGTCATAGACATTCTATCTTTCGTTCTACATCTGCACATTTCGTCTAGACTATCACTAAAAATTCACCATCTTGTAGTGATTCGTATTATTTGAGTCTCAAGTATTATTTGTCATTTTCAATTATTCTCATAAAACAATATCAACGAGTGCGAAGAATGTCATAAAACATAAATGCAATATTGAGACTCTTTTGAGTAACCATATCCTCATGACAAATAATAATTACAAATAAAAAACTTTCTTTTTCATTCTATTCTCAAACATATTAACTATAACTACATAATCATTATTATCTTTATTAATAAGTGTTCTATAAGAGATCTATATTATTTTTGTTTTTTTAGGTTCCCGGTCCTCATCTTGAGTGTAGTCCAGCAGTAAATAAATTTTTTTGAATTTATTTATATAAATTTTCGTATTAATTTTCTTAGCAATATGGAACAACTGGAGAAATTTTTTCACGTTGGCTTCAAATATTTATTTTTCAAGGATTATCAATTCATGGTATACGATCATGTGGTGATTATATGTTTTCAGGTCACACAGTTATGTTAACATTATTAAATCATTGTATAACAGAATGTAAGTTTAAATACTTTAAGTATAAACAATAAAATGAAGATTTTGTTTTTAGATACAACATCTGATTTTTATGTTGTTCATCTTCTTTCATGGCTTTGTAATATATTGGGTATGATATTAATTTTAGCAGCACATGAACATTATACAATTGATGTATTCATTGCATTCTTTTTAACAAGTCGTCTTTTTCTTTATTATCATTCATTAGCTAATAATGCTGTTTTACATTCAGTATCAGATAATCGTTTATCCATATGGTTTCCAATGTTTTCATATTTTGAAAAAAATATTCAATGTATGGTACCTAATGTATTACGTATTCCATGGCCATTAACATTAATTTATACGAATACCGACGAACAAGAAATTAAAGATTCAATTGCTGAATTTGATAATGATAAATATAATCGTCACCGTAAACATGAATGAAGTGTGATATTTTTCTTTTTTTCGATAAAAATTTTTCATTGCTTTTTGTTATTTTCACTGTGATTTTGCATTTTTTCCTTCTTCCAAATGAACAATAAAATTTTATTTTCTAGATTGTCGCCAAAGTGGCGATATTTTAATAGAAACTAATGGTATAATGGAAAAGAAAATGTAAGTAAATTAAATGACATTTATTAAAATAAAACTTTTACATTTCTGTTATATGAGATAAGACTTAACAATATTGTTTTTTTACATCAACAAGAGGATGCATTTTGATGAAGATTTATTGACAAAAGATAAATATTTTTAAGCTAAGAAGGCATTAAGAAAGTTTGATTAAGACTTTATTAAACTTGATAATCTGCTCTTCAACGGTATACACAAGTCATTTGATATAGCCTTCTTTACTTTATTTTTAATATTAGTAAAACTAGACATCGAATTTTGTTATTTTATTTTGGCATTGATCAATATACTAGACATTGTTAGTTGTATTATTTGCGCGAGATAATCATTATAGAAGAGATTAAAGCAGAATAAATCTTTGAAACATGCTAGTGATTAAATACTATAAATATGGTATGTATGTGACGATATTGAATAAGAAAGTATTAAAATATATCATTTTTTCTATATATTTTTTTTTCTTAGTTCTATTGCAATATTTGACATGTTCAGGACAGTTATACAACATGCATGAACTATATTATTGAATACAGATTCTTTTTTTCTTTTAACAATAATTCATGCATAAATAACGAAAAAGCAAATAGACCTTTAACAATAGAATTATATTTTGTCTTCGATAACATTCTCCATTTGACATTTTACACCTTTTTTTCTGATCTCTATCCACATTTGTTAACTATTTTGCATAGAATATTTTTTCTTCCATCTAGAGAATTATCTGAAATAATGCTCAATTCCACATCTACGAATCATTCAATAGAATATTCTAAAATTTTACAATTATCAGTACCTTTATCAACGACAACGATTAATTTAAATTCTTCATTAACATCAAATCCATCAACATGGACAATAAATCAAGTTGAAGAATGGCTTAAAAAAAATAATTTGAATGATTGTATTGATATTTTATGTCATCAATATCAAATTGATGGTGAACGTTTAATAAACTTAAATCAAAATGATATATTATCATTAACAAAAAATAAACAATTATGGTTACAAATAAAAACTTTAAAACCAAAATCAACAATAATTCAACTTGATTCATCAACAATAAATTGTGAAAATAGTACAATATCAAATCAAATTGAAGATCAACCAATAACAAATTGTTGTTTTATTACTTCAATACGTTCAGATAGAAAAAAAACTTTATTAGCATTTCTTCTTGCTTTAATGACAATATTTTTTTGTTCATTTATTATAACGATTGTTGATGAACGTTTACCTGATCCAAAAAACTTTCCACCATTACCTGATCTTATACTAGATAATATTAAACAAATATCATGGGCATTTTCTATAACAGAAAAATTAATTTTAACAGAAATGATAACACTTATTATTGTTATAATTCTTCATAGACATAGGTTAATAGATATATTCGTTTGTTTTTAAATATAATTATAATTGAACTATTATTTTTAGAATGATTATTCTTCGTCGATTATTTACTATAACAGCTGCACTTTATTTTCTTCGAAGTATTACTATGGTTTTAACATCATTACCAGTTGCAACAAAAGTTACCGACTGTGAACCAAAGGTTTGTGTTGTTGGCTTTTTTGTTTTTTTGTCTTGTTTTAGTAATTATTTGAATATTTTTAAATAGCAATTAATTAATTTTGATGCTCGATTAAAAAAAGCTGCTCTGATTTTTCTTGGCCAAGGTCTATCGTCATTTGGAGTGAAAACATGTGGGGATTATTTGTACAGTGGTCATACATGTACTCTCGTACTTGCAACACATTTTATTAATGAATGTATGTATAAATTAAGGAAAAATCTATTCAAATATTTGTGTTTATCAATGTAAAACTTAAACTTTGTCCTTTGAGAATTTAATTATGCACGATGCACTATTTCAGACTGACTAGTGTAAGCATGACATATGTGCTTATCTTTGATAAGACAACAAAATAAGTAAGTATAAGATAAAAATAAAAAATGAAAAAGTAATATGAAAATAAGAAGAATAATTTACGTTGTTGGTGTTAAATATTTACTTAGATAAAAATGTTATTCATATTATTCAAAAAGAAATCTCAATGAATCAAAGAAAATTGATAAATTCTAATTAACATTGTATTTCTTAAGGGTGTATTTTTATTTTGGTTTAAAATTCGTTCAAAAAGCGTTAATATCTTGCAATAGAAAAAAGCAACAAATTTTGTTCATAAGTTTCACAAGAGAAGATAACATATAGTATTGAACAGAGTTGTTTTGCACTCATCTATTTCCATAGAAATAAATATCAACTCCGAAGGTCAACAGAATCTAGACAAATATTGGATCATGAAAAAAATGATTGGGAACGGTCACTATGTTTTATCCTGTGTGAAGCCTAGAAATAAAGTAGTGCTCTTCCGAAAATCTGTTTCATTTTATCAAAATTTAAATCTCTACTTCGAAAGAGAAAGCCTGAGTTCCCAATACGGATACACTTTAATATACCTTTTTACATTATTCTTCGGTTTTTAAATGACTAAGCATTTGGTACTCATATGCAAACAAAAAAATGACAGCAAGTGACTATTGTTCTTTTGAGTTAGGACTATGTGTATCCTGTAGATCGTAATGAGCTATGAATATCTGAAGAATAATTCAAACCCATAGCTTATTGATGCGAAAATATTATATTATGACAGTACTTGATAAGTTAGTATGGTGGTCCCCTAAGTAGAGTTCGGCGATTGCAAAAAAAAAAAAAAAAAGGAATCGAGAACAAAACCGCTAAATCATCAGATAGATACAAAGATTCTTAAATCGATGTCGAAAAATCTTCATTTTTTCACTCTTGAGATTAAAGATTTTAGTATATATGTATAATATTATTTTGTTCAACTACTGAGATATGTGATTTCGTTACACTTTAAAATTCAATAGTAAAAATTTCTGAAAAATAGATATAAAATTTTCGTATCTATTTGATGATCCAGTTGCTTCGGTTCCACATGATATTTTGGAAACTGAACCAAAGCCGAATGCACAGTTTCTTTTCGTGTAATTTTTGAAATCGCCAAACTCTGCTCCTCAGCAACACTCGGAAAACTGATTTTCCAATTTCGACTTGAAGCTTTGTATAGCAACAAGCCTTAACAAAAATAGTTTATTATAAAAATTTCAGCTCTTTTTTATCTATTCTTACTCCTAAATAAGAGTATCGAATCTGCCAAGTGTATATGACCGATGTAAAGGACACGCTTTTATCATAGTCGTATCTTAAATTAGAAACAACGAAAAGATCTGAAATTTTCACAATAAATTATTTTCATTAAAGCCCTCCCTCTCCTCAAAAATCTATCTCAGCCCAGGAACATCCAAATTGCATGAAACTTTCAGGATATGTTGAGGCTGGAGAGGGGAGACTACAATAAAATTGTCGGCCCGAAATTTTCAGGTTTTAGGGAGATATGAACCAAACAAGGGTCAAAAATGACTCATTCGATATCCCAAAATTTTCGGTCCTGGTTCGTTCAATATATTAATATCTTTTTTTGTTGAAAAGAGCATCTCAAGATGCAGGGCATGATGGGGCCATTTTTTTGAAATAGTCCCTTTTTAAGCGCAAAAAAGAGATCACAAGTTCAATTACTGAAAAAAGTGTCAAAAAATGGTAACCAAATCATATAACTGGCTGTATATTGACCAAACAAAGGCTTAATTAAAAAAATGGCCCCATCATGCCCTGCGCCTTGAGACGGTCTTTTAAACAAAAAAAAATATTAATGCATTGAACNGTGATGTAATTGAATTACACACTTTGCTTCGAAGTGAGAGATATACATAAATGGAACCTGATGAGAACAATTCATTGGTCACGAGATGTTCTCTGATATGTTCTAGTGTTGCACTTTGCTTCGAACTGAGCGATATAATTTAACAGCAATCTTTTTATAAAAATTCATTTATCAATAGGTCTTTGCTTATATGATCGACTAACACAATTGGTTTTGAACTGAGTGACATACTGTAATACAATCCTACTTACAATCATTCATTTATTCTCTCAGTTTTGACCACCTAATTTCGTTTGAACTTTTACTTTAGTAAAAGTCATATTTGTACAAAGCCTTTGTTAGAAGTAATTAGTTAATACGTACATTGCCATATACGAGTCTACTGAAATACTTCATCTCGAAGAGAGTGATATACTTGTATGAAACGCTATTTATTGTGGTTCATTTGTCAAAAGATATTTGCTAATGTAATTGAGTGTCACACTTTGCTTCGAATTGAGTGATATACATGAATGGAACCTTGATGAGTAGGATTCATTGGTCACGAGATCTATTCTGATGTGTTTGAAAAACATACTTCACTTTCAATTGAGCAGCCTATTTGAATAGAACTATTTTTAGACTGATGCATGTACCTTGTGTCTTTCACCAGTGCGTATAATATCAGCAGTTTAATTAACAGTGACATATCCGAACGGAATCGTTGTTCATGCCAATCATGAGACAGGTATCTCCATAATCGACTCTGAATGTGAATTTTGTTTTTTTTCTGACCATATACTTGAATGAAATCATAATTATAACAATTCATTTGCCAAGAAATCTTTGCTGATGTGATCGAGTGATACACTTCACTTCGAAGTGTGAGATACACTAGAATGGAACAATGCTTACAACAATTTATTTGTCAGGCGATCTTTGCTGATGTAATTGAGCTACACGCTTCACTTTGAAGTGAGCAATATACTTGAATGGAACCCTCGTTATAAAAATTTATTTACCAAGCAATCTTTGCTAATATGATTGAATGACGCACTTCACTTCAGGGCGATCGATATACTTGAATGGAACTCTAATTATAAAAATTTATTGGTCACGAGATCTTTCATGAGGTGATCGTGTGACACATTTCTTTTCGAAGTGAGCAATATAATTGAATAGAACCCTGCTTATAAAAATTCTGTTGTCAAGAGATCATTGATGATGTGACCGAATGGAACACTTAACTTCGGACTGAGTAATATACTTGAATAAAACTCTACTTATAACGAATCATATATCAAAAGATCTTTGATAATGTGATTGAGTGATACATTTCACTTCAAATTGAGTGATATAGTTGAATGAAACCATGGTCATGATAATTCATTTGTCAAAAGGTCTATAAATTTGATTAAGTGACACATTTTGCTTCGCATTGAGTGACATACTTCAATAGAACAGTTGTTGATGTTAATCGCTTATATCGTTGTATTGCATTATCGGGCTTTATTTCAGAAGTCAACCCGAAGTGAATAAGATAGTTGAACATAGTCATTTTGAAAATGATTCATATCCCACACACACTCTGACAGGTCGCGTACATTTATGTTCTATTCTGCATGACTAAACTGCTTGAATAGTGTCCTGTTTGGAGTTGTATAATTAGGACGGAGTGTTTGAACATCAAGCACTGTGAGATGTTTCCGACAAGATAGAAGAATAGTTGAATGGGTTCATTCTTATAATGATTCACTAACCATTTCATGGTCAGTCATGCGATCTAGCATCACACATCATTGAAAACTGAATAATGTATTCGATTAGTACACTCAAGGCAATACCAATGCAGCTATTTCATTTCTATGTGCTTGTCAGTATACCGTAAAGTGCTGGTTTTCGAGAACAGTTCAACGAGCTATTCGAATTTGATCACTGTCACGCTAATTCATTATCTTAAACATTATCATTCAGGTAAACCAAGCTAATTGTTGTTTTTGCTACGAGATTTATTTGAAGAGAATCTTAATTCAACTAATTTATTTGCCACGTCATATTCGATCATAAATTTCACTGTCAGTGATTGCTTGATAATAATATAAATGAACACAACTTTGGTTTAGATAATTCATATGTCATACGATGTTCAATCATGAACTTTGATATTAGCGATCATGCCAAAATAAAATAAATGAACACGACCTTTTTTTGAATAATTCATATGCGCGACGATGTTCAATCATGTATTCTGATGTTAATTATCATGCTAGAATAAAATAAATGAACACAACCTTGGTTTGGATAATTCATATGCCCTGCGATGTTCAATCATGTGTTCTGATGGTAGCGATCACATCAAAAATAAATAAATAAACAATACCTTAGTTAGGATAATTCATCAGCGATGCGATGTTCAATCATGTGTTCTGATGTTAGCGATCAGGTCAGAATAAAATAAATGAACAAGACCCTGGTTTGAATAATTCATATGCCATACAATATTCATTCATGTGTTTTGATGTTAATAATCGTATCGAAATAAAATAAATAAATTAGAGCTTAATTAAGATAATTCATCTGACATACAATGCTGAATATTATGTTTTACTGTCATTGGTTGTTTTGGAATAAAATAATTGAACATGATCTTGTTTAGGATAATTCATATACCATGCACTGTTGAATCCTGTGTTCTATTTTCATCGATGCTAGAGAGTAAAATAATTGAACCCAACCCTCGTTAGGATAATTCATATGCCATGCACTGTTGAATCCTGTGTTCTACTCTCATTGATTGCTAGAGAGTACAATAGCTGAACACGACCTTTCTCAAAATGATTCACTTCTAGTGTGATCCTGTAATACGACGCTTGCAATTAAATTTTAGATTAGACATGCGTGAAAACGAATAGATCTATTGTTGTTATTATGTATTTTTTGGGTAGATCTTCATCGTAGATTATGTCGCTATGCTTTTGATTCAATGAGAACCATATATATGAACAGAAAGCTAACGGTTGGAAGAATTCGTTTGTAAGATGATATTCGATGGCATGATCCACAGACGTACTTCGTTTCGAAGTGTTCGGTATGTTTGAACAAAGCTATAATTAAAAAGATACATCGGCTTTGTAGTCTAGTACTACTTGACGAACTTTCATATTGCATTCTGAATGAGTCACATAGGTGATAAAAGAGGTTCTTAAAACTAGTTACTTGTGACGTATTCATTATTAGACAGGTAAATGATGCCCTAAGCTTTGTTTCGAAGAATGTTTTTGAATAGATATTTAATCAATAACGTTCATCTAACATGAGCTGTTCTTTTTAAGTAACCTATAATGATTGTTTGCAGATGACTGATATACTTGAATAGAGTTATTTTAAGATTTATTCATTTTTGTGATGAATTATTTCCTCTTAATAATGATAGAACCTTTACCTCACTGTTAATCATATTCATGACAGGACAAATTGTTGCTAGTGTTCGTTTACTATGTAATTGATAATTAGATTATAAGCTTTTGTTTGAATTTAGAGTGTTCACTACCGATTGAACAAGACACTTGTTAACAGTATCCAGTTTCTGGATGATTTTTAAATACCGATTGTGTTCATCGACTTACTTCAACGTAAGTATTACATTTGAACACAAATGTTGCTGTGGCTATTCATGCGATTTCCAATCAATGATATGGTGTTATGTTAAAGATGGATGATGGAGTTTACAACGAATCTGAACACATTTTACGACGACGGGATAATTTTAAAAACTTTACGAGACGTTGGTCAAGTGACTACAAACATTACAGGCTTTTGTTTGACTTTTTCATATACTCTTATCGAACTCCTTATTTTCATAAACTTTTGATGTTATATGAATGCAATCTAATTTTGACGGCTGTTTGTGTCGTTTGTAGTTTTGAAAAGACTTCTCAACATTTGAAAACCTTATTCAACACAAATTTCGATTGAGCTTAGAGTACTTTCATATAACGTTAAATATTTACAAAAAGAATTTTAAATCGGGAACAGGGAATTTATATTCAATTACTAATCAATGGTGAAGGTTTTTTAGTAGCTAGTTACCTAATTATTAATTACTCTCGCTTAGCTTTTTCTCTTTCTGTTTTACTGCAGTAAATATCCTGCTTTTTGCTTTTTAAGAGTCTTATTTTTTACATTTAATCATCATTTTTATGTGCTTCATTATTCTCAATAAATATTTATATAACAATACCGCCAAGACGTGCAAATTCATCAAGGTGATTATTTTCCAATATAGGAC